CTTGTTAAGGGAATTATCATTTTGCCCATTTTGATTAGCTTCTGAAGCGTCTCAACCCCTCGATTAGCTGTTTAGAAAGGCATCAGCTCCCATGTTCTCCTTTCCTTATCAAAACCAAAACAGATTACTAAAACAGTGACACAAATCAAAAGCACAGAAATGACGCACCAAGCTAAATAACCCTAATGGTGAGACACAGAACCTGTGAGGTTATTGATGCTTGTTGCTTCCCAACTGCTTTGTATCCACAGTCATGGGTCCATGTATTGACAGTGGGTTTGTGGACCTCAAAAACTTCTTTTCTTTCCAGCAGCACTCGTGTCTGAGCCCAAGTGACTGAAACAAGGCAATGAATTTATCACAAGTGGGCAATGCAATTATCTTGGGAGTGGCCACGTGACAGAAATCAATATGTCACAAAGCGCTCAGACATTGACTCTCATCCATGACAAAGTGTGCCAGTGCCTTTCCATAGAAAGGACTGGATTATTGGACTTTGTGAACCTCCGACTTTTTTGATTTACTGTTGGGTCAGTGCAACGTTATAAAAGAGCCATTGTTTTACAAGAGGGGGAAGTAATGAATGGACTGCAGAAGTCGCACCTATGAAGGAAGCCAAGTCAGAGTGGCTGCCTTTATTAGCTCATCTAGACACAACTCATTCACAGGGCTGGAAGGGAAGTGAAGAGGGGTGATCTTGATTTAATGTGTGTGAAGTTTCTCATATTTTCCAGCAGGGGGCCCCAGTGAACTGGGTACAAACCTGGAGAGGAGTTGATTTCAGAATCAGGTCTCTGCCCTCACTACTACGGGACAAACTGGAGCCTTGTACTGTCTGACCCGGCCAGAAACTCAAGACTACTCTACTGGTACTATGCTACAGAAATTCCACTAAAAATACAAACAGCTTGTAGCACACTGCAACTCCATTAAAACAAGTCTATGACAAGGTCATCAATTAAGATATAAGGCTCCCGTAGGGCTTTGTGGTTCATATCCGGTGTGTAATGATTAAAAAAATGGGTTAGGGGGCAGGATAGTGCGGTAAAAGGATGATAAGACAGAAACCAGTTAAGGAGGAGAAGAGGGAAGAGCGTGTACCTCAGAAAGCATTTGAGTGCACCCACACTGTGGTGGAATCAGTGGGATAAAGAGACGGGGGAAGAAGTTGAGGAGTAATAGATTTTAGCTGCTTGGCCACACTTCCCACACAGTCCCAGTCCCAGCTCTTATGTTTTCTGTTTTAATAGGGGGGAAAAAGGGTGAAGTCAGCAAAAACAAAATGCCGCCATTAAATCATCTCCCCAGATCCGGTGTCAGAGCAGTAATGGGAAGCGCACTCATCATTGGAAAGGTTACTGCTTTCCAGAACCTCCCTGCTAGCTTTTCTCTCTCTTTATCCCTCGGCCCCTCCTCGTCCTGCGCCTCCTGGCCTCAGTCTCATCCCCTCACCAGAAACCAGCTGTAGCTGAGCTGATCTCTGGTTTGCCGGCTGCTGTACAGTCCCCAAGGACCCCGGGGTCGAGTATGAGGGATTGGGGCAGCTACAGTTCGCCACGGTGAGTTGGTTTCATCTCGCAGAGATGCCACCATGTTGAAAACGAAAATGTCTCTCTCTTTCTGTGTTGTATGCAATTGTTTAAAGAACAAAGGCTGCCCATCCACCTGCAGACAAAGGGCCTTTTGCTCTAGTATTTTACCAAATCTTATATTGGCTTTTTACAATGCTGGGGGCAGCAGTATCAGACAGCAAAAAATCTCAAGCACTACTGGCAATTTGACAAACAATTCTTCCACTTACTGGAACATTTCCAAGGGCTTTCAGCCACATCTGGTGGCCTTCATCAGCAGATGAAGAGCTGTATATGTAAAGAAAAGTGATCAAGCAACCTAATCCTCTGATGGAGGTCATGAAGTATGGCTGAAAGCCCTATAAAATGTCCAATAAGTGTTTCGATTTTTTGTGTATATGTTATTTTAGACACATTCAGGTTAGTGATGAACTTAAAAGCTCAACTACTGCCATTAATATGTTTCTAGTGATGCCCCCTAACCTTTACTCTTACGCCAGCATCAAGCTTCATTAAGATTAATTAGAGTCAGACCAAAAAATATTAGCTAATGATAGATGTATTGGCACATATGTCAGGTGAAGTAACAGGAAAAGTGTCTACATTGTTTGTCCACTAGGGAGCACTGACAAGTTTATGTGATTTTTTATGAAACAAATTTAAAGGATATTTATCAAAAATGTGTGTATATTTTGACTTTTGACTCTAAAATATTAACTTTGGTTTTGGCTTCAAATCTCCAGCATCGGTTGGGTTCAGATCAACTGTTAAAAGGACCAGTGTGTACTACCCTACAAAGGCAACTACAGTTTTCGTCAATTCGGTTCAATTCAGTCTTATTTGTATAGCATCAATTCAAAACAAAACTAGAGCAGGTCTTGACCGTACTCCTTATAAAATTATTAGACCCAACCGTTCTCACCATGGCCAAGCACTTGGCGACTGCGACAAGGAAAAACTTCCTTGTGATTTAGTTATGATTGAAATTGAACTTTCAAATGTTTTATCTTGTGACAAATTTTCCAGTCCAGTCTTGCTCTACCTTAACATTACAATAACTACAAAATCCAACGAAAACCAATGTAAACCACAGTAGGTGTAGTTAATTCAATTCAATTCAATCTTATTTGTATAGCGCCAATTCATAACAGAAGTTATCTCAGGACACTTTTGAAATAGAGCAGGTCTAGACCGAACTCCTTTTAACATTATTTAGAGATCCAACAGTTCCCACATGACAGCACTTGGCGACGGGAACCAAGGAAAAACTGCCTTTTATTAGCGCGAAACTAGGACTCTAGTGGTGGTCTCGACTGTACTTTACTCGCTCAATGTATTATTCCGTGATTTGATTATATTGTTCTGTCTACAAGAATATTCTATCACCATTAATTATGAAATCTAAACACGTTTACATCAATTTTAAATTTAATAATTTGTCAAGTCATCTAAGTTTAAACCTCACAACATAGCTTAATCTAATTCGCCATCTACTTTAACTTTTTCACATTTTAGATTGCTCAGCAAAGACACTAAACGCAGCTCTACGCATGTTTGCAATACTTAATCATGATTTTTAAGCCATGAAGCAATACTTAAAAACATACTTTAATAAGCACATAACTCGCATTCTACCACAAATGCATTGTCTGGCAGTCAAAAAGTTTGAAGCATTTTCTCAGTGTCCTTGTTAGTATACCTACTCGCGGTTAGACCCTTTCTAGGCGCGCAGCGTAGATTTAGGGATCTAGTCTGAACTTCCAGATTCACTAAAGAAACTGCCTGGCATCCCTGACTAGCAGCTGACCTTACTGAAAAGTGGCGCCTGAGAGTGTGTACGAAAATACCAGACTCGTAAATCACCTGAGGTTAAACCTCACAAAATACTTAAATTCTTAATTGCTCATCTACTTTAACTTTTTAACATTTAGAATTGCTCAGAAAGACACTAAGACTGCAGTTACTGCACTGTTTGCAAATAATTAATCATGATTTTTAAGCCATGAAGCAATACTTAAAAACATACTTTAATAAGCACATAACTCGCATTCTACCACAAATGCATTGTCTGGCAGTCAAAAAGTTTGAAGCATTTTCTCAGTGTCCTTGTTAGTATACCTACTCGCGGTTAGACCCTTTCTAGGCGCGCAGCGTAGATTTAGGGATCTAGTCTGAACTTCCAGATTCACTAAAGAAACTGCCTGGCATCCCTGACTAGCAGCTGACCTTACTGAAAAGTGGCGCCTGAGAGTGTGTAGAAAAGTACAATGACTGTAAAACTTGAAAAAGGTTGTATCTAGAGCCTGTGTTTGGTTTGTCCATTCTGGGCTACTGTAGAAACATGGACTCCATGGAAGGTGGCCTGTGGCATCTGTAGATAAAAATGTCTTTGTGTTCTCTGCAATGACCTCTGTTTCTGACTTTTATTCTTTACCTGAAAATAATCAGTGTGGTTCAACTTTCTATGGGTTGTCCGCTTTTAGGGTCCCATGTTCTTAAGGATATTTAAGATCCTTTTATTCAACTTCCAGGTGTTTCAATGACTGGAAAACTAGTCTCTCAATTCCCAGGTTTTCCAGGAACAATGCAAGTGCAATTTCAAAATTGCAGCAGCAAGGTAAAACGTGTGACAAAACAGCATAATAATGAAGTACTGTGGTGCTGCTACAAATGTTACATCATCCTGATTTCAATAGTTTTTTTTCCAATGAAAATGAAAATTGTGATGCAAAAATGATCATTCCCACTAACTGTGAATCATATTACAATCACAATATCTGTCAAAATAATATTATAAAAATATTACTCTTTTACCAAATGGTGCAGCCCTAGTGAAAATAGCTAAAAGGTCAAGACACTGGCAATCAACAGCTACAACAGTGTTTAAAAATGTCTATGCTTATCAAACCTAGTGAGTGACTGCAGTAAGAGAATCCTGCAGATCACTTCTAGATTGCAGTGGGCTGAGAAGCAACATTTCATCTGAGCCACCACCCCCCACTCTCCCCAACAAGAAGGCCACTTCCCAGGTGATAAATCACAGATGACAGAGGGCATTACACGCACAAACGGACCGCCGCTGCCGCACCTTTAGAACAATTAATTAGCTGGCTGACACTCATTTATCACTGCAGCAATAAGGTGAAAAAGTCAAGAGTTTATTAAAGCTCTGCTTAATTTTCAAGAGCTATAGGCCAGAGGCTGAGACACTTCACATACACAACAGCAGCAACATTCACATTCTTACCTTATACAGTATCACAATAATACAGTATACAGTACACAGTTAATCAGAAATATTCCCTTAAAGCATGTAAACAAATGTTTGGCAATTAAAAGAAAATATGTTAGTCGCTTTAGGACTACATCACAAAGTAGAGTTGAACTCTGTTTACAACACAAGCTTATGATATATAATCAAGTATGTAGGCATAAAAAAGAAAGACATGTATGTTTGGCCTCTTCAATAAATACTGTACACATTGTCACACTACACAGCTACCTGGCATTCAAATTCTACAAGACCACATCACTTGTTTTCAGGTTTAATTTAATGTACAGATCTGAGTAAATAGATATAGCCATGCATTGAGTCTTTGAGACTGGTTGAGTATGAGATGGGAAAGGACCGGTCAGGAAGGATCTCAACCCCAAAGACAAACCCAGTGTGGCGTTTGTGGACACACTCCAGAGAGACAAAAAGCAGTAAACTGCATGGATTAGACTGCTCCCGAAAGCATGCATATAAGGCCCTGGATAGGCAACAGAGTGACATATGAGGGCAGAATGTGACACTTGTCATGAGCCCTGACACAGCAGCAAGCAGCTGTTGTTTTGACAGCACTGACTATGGGCCACCAGGGACGTGGAGACAAAGCTGGGCTTCTTTCTGAGGACGTGTCAGTTTAACTGTCACTTCAAGATGTGGAGACAGAGGAAGACTTCTAAATGCCTTAAGACACTAGAGACATTTGGACTAATGTGCTATTACAGCTAACTACACTAGTTTGTTTCTACTACAGATGCTTTACAGTAGCATTATGGTAGCTGCTACACTTGAAACACAAGAAACAAGTTGGCTTTTCTATACACGACACTGACTTTTTCTTAATTCTGGTCCTCCATTTACTAAGAAAACACAAGACAACACTAAAATCTGGGAAAGCCTAAGTTCAAGTGCGTCTGCAATGAAGCAAATTCACACTGAAATGCTCAGGGTGATTGGGTGTCAGATGACTTCAATCAAATAGTGATTGGTACTGATAAGCAGTCGTAGGGGAGGGCAAAAGCCTCATACCAATGGGGGAAAAAAAGAGCTGATCTAAAAGAATTCGCATACATGTTGGATGCAGGTGAGCACCAAGAGACAAAGAGAGAAGTTATTAGGGATAAGTCAGAAGATGCAAAAATCAGCTGAGTGCAGCAGTTTATTAGCACTTTTTGCTATCCACACTGCGAGCAATACCATCAACAAGCCTGGAATCTTACACTAATTTCCTGCAGAGGCTTTGGACACAGCCAAATTTGAAAATCTGAAAGATTCCATGGGCACTTGAACTATCTAGAAAACGGTGCTTCTTCATGGAAAACCGGGCATTTTCAGTGGTCTTCAATAGTGGATAAACTGTAATCATCAAAAAACTGACTGTCCTATCGAATCAAACTGCTTTCCGATTCATAGCTGATAGATCGTCACTGTCTAACCTCTGTTTCTAAAGGAAATACAATTAAAAATTAACTTTCTGACAACACACATGGTGGCACCTAGTGATAGAACGATTAGTTGAGAAAGATAGTTGATTGTTGAGTCTGTCCCCCAGGGCTTTGGAACCCTGGGAATTAGACTGAACAATCAACTATCCTCAAGCTTCAAACCAAAACTGTCTTTCTTGGCTCTGATTGGTTGTTCTTCTTTGAGCCTGGTGGATTCTTGCAAATACCATTAGGAGCACTAGGAGAAGGCAGAGGAACCTGATTTTTGCACAGATTATCTGTCTAATGTACCTACTGTCAGGATATAGTTAAGGTTTCAGTAAATATGACACAAATTAGTAGTAAGTTACCTACTGCAGCTTTAAATAAGTAATGACACAGACTAGGAGTCTTACAAATGAAATCTGGAACACTTGTATCCATCAACTGGCTCCATAGTAAGCTCTCTGGTTATTCTCTACTTATTTGTGTTTAATGCTACCTAAGTAGCACAAGAAAAGTGTTGTGGTTATTTGCCAAAATGGTTAAATACATGAAATGTATCAATACATAACTTTTTCTTACTTGGTCAAAACTTTGTAGATGCAGACAACTGCACTGATGCAACTGAAGCTACAATTGGCCAGTTAGTCATAGTGTGTAAAAGCAGTCCAACATTAACCAAAAATGTTTGACAGTTCCGCTCAATTTTTCGTTGGACAGTTGTTGGTCCAGTTCGGATCAGAGGAGGTTGCGGGGCAGCGTGGCGGTCACGTTCTTCAGTCTGACTCGAGCGCCATTCTTCAAACGCCTCAATTTGCCTCTCTCTGTCTCTAAGCCAACTGGTCATCTGTCCCCGAGTTTTTATGGGAGGTGAGGTGGCTGCCCCGGCTCTCACAACCTGTGCAATGCAAAGATACAAAGAGTCAGGGCAGCACACCTCACACCCCGACCAGCAACCCTTACAACTTAAACACTGCTTCAAGAGAATGACAAATAAAACACAAACACTTTGGTATTTAAGTGTAGGGCTTTTTATTTCATCTATTTCCATGACTCTGCTCTTGCCATGGATATATTTCAAAAAGCAGTAGAAGTTGTTACTGCATAATACATTGAAATGGTAAATTCTTAAATAAAAGCCAATATTAAAAAAATGGCTGAATCTCAAATAATAAACCTGCACGCACAAATAAAGGCAGGTAAGAGCAGGTAAGAACATTTGGGATATGGTGGGTGTTGAAACGACCTACCTTACATATTATTTTCAGCATACTGTACATTTTGATAGCATT